CAGCTGGTTCTAAAGGAAGAACTCCACATGCGACGCATCATGACAACGCACCAGCGCACACCGCCTTCAAAGTTCGGCAGTTTTTGGCCTCAAACACCATGGCCGTCATCCTGCACCCTCCTTATTCGCCGGATTTAGCTCCGTGTGACTTCTTCCTCTTCCCAAAGATGAAAATTCAGCTAAAGGGAAGGAGATTTGAGACGATAGAAGAGATTCAGGCAGAATCGCAGATGGTGCTTGACAGGCTGACAAAGAAAGATTTCCAGGGATGCTTCCAGGCTTGGCAGCGGCGCTGGGATCGTTGTGTTCACTCCCAGGGGAACTACTTCGAGTGTGATGGATGAATTTAATACCTGAGATAAGTGTACGGGTTTTTAGAGGCGCAGTCTTGAAACTTTCCAATTGCACCTCGAATGAAAGATAAGAAAATAAATTTCAAGAAAAATAAGTAAGTATAAGCAATGTAAGCAGTATAATAATTTTACTCCAAAGATAAATTAACATGTAACGGAGTTAGACAAAAAGCCCTGATCATAATGATTCGTGTGTCACAGTATACAATTCAATGAAGGACTCATGTGGATAGAGTAATGGATCCATATATTAAGTCGGAGGATGTCTTGTCTAACTGTGCAAGAACATGAAGAATAAATACAATGTAACGTGTCGGTTTCATGAATCAGACAGGTATTAAAGTGCACGTTGTTCCCAAGTGAAGTCACTTAATTGCGTTTTCTTCAACCAGGTGACCCCGGCCACGACCCTATACGACGGAGTTCTTCCCATGTACAAGAAGAGACGTGGTTCAAGTGCATTGCACAGAGAATTGTACGTCATCAGAGTGGCTTCGTTCCTCTTCGCGCAGGGCCTCTATAAGTCGGAGGAATTCCATCTGGCTTCAAACGTCGACTTCGCTGAGGACTTTGATGACGTGGTATTTAAGTATAGATTGAAAGGACAGGATATTTGTAAGACGTGTTTCATACAGCTTAAACATAAGGAAACCAAAAATTTTGCAATTCCGCGCACCAGCCTCTTACACCTGTCTGGAGATTTCAGTTTGTTAAAATATTTTGCATCATACTGTCAAATTAAACGAAACGTTTCTAAAGACAGTAATCTGAAAATGTATGGTTCATTTGTTGACTTCGAGTTTATAATTTACACTAATGCCAGGCTGAATAGCAAACGTGTACATGGAGACGACAGTGGTCCATTAAGCATATTGAGATCAGGGCCAAATAACGGGAAATATGTAACTTTCAATGAGAGAAATGATGAAGATATTTTCCACTTCTTTAAAAAACTGAAACAGTATTATAGATTACCTCCGGAACTCAAATATCTGGAGACCTGTGATTTTTCATTAGACGAAGAATTCTTGCAGAAAGTGAAAATATTTCAGTGCCAGGCAAATGAAAGTTCCTTGGAGAAATTAATTAAGAAAAAGCTTGAGAAAGCTTTTCATACATCATCTTCAGGCATAAATTCCATCTACGAAAAGCTTGAAAGATATGTGACTCAGTGGTGGAAACAAAATCCCAAAGCAAATTGGCTCAGTGAAAGTTCGCGTTTCTGGCAAACAATCAGACAGCATTGGATTCAGAAGATAAAGGAATTATCGAAAATAGACGTTCAAGAATCCATTGAATATGGCATGAGATTCACTGAACAACATGTGCAACCACTGTCTGAAGCCTTGCAATGCAACAAATTATTAAAAGTCATTACCAAAAAAAATTGTGGCACTTTATCCAAATTGAAAATATATCAGGCTCTTAATTCTTTAGGCCAAGAAAATTCATTATTTATTAGTTTAAAAACTTTAATGGATCCATGTGTAGAGATTCTTGAATTCTGGCCATGCAAGTGGAGTTCTGTCTTGGTCATTGACTGTAAGGAAGGATCTGATGATGAAAAAATTTTGGCCAAAATTTTTACTGGCATATTGGATCTTTCTCACAAAAAGTGTGTTGTAATTTCACGACATAAACACCCACATTTGGCTTTTCAATTTCAACAGAAACCAGTAAAAGTGTACGCGGAATACGAAGATGAATGCAATTTCTTTGACTTGGATAATATATCACAGGAAATTGTATTGAAAAGAACTGTTGATTTATAAGGAATGGAGGTCCCTTTAGAGGCACTGATAGATAAAGACCCTCTTGAAGATATAAAGCAGAGTATAAACTTACAAGTATTGTGTTTATTGTTGGGCAGGGAACAGAATATGTCTATTGGTAGAATGTTACGTTATTTATCTGACCATCCTTCCCCGTCTGATGGCCATTGAGAGCGCGGTCAATTTTTTGGGCCCTTGGTAATTGACGTTAGCATTAAACTTCACAAGGTGTTTTACACATTTTACGTTGTTCTTAATCACAGAAAGTTGTAAAGGTGATCTTCCGCCAGAATCCGGAATATTTACATCTGCACCTTTCTCCACCAAATGCATTGCTAATTCAGTATAGTTGCAAATAAGTGCGTAATGAAGTTGAGTGAAGCCGTTCCAATCGTGCACGTTCAGATGAGCACCTGTCTTTATTAAGTAGTCCACGTCAATTGGGTTACAACAATGCAATACGAGATGTAAAGCTGACGATTTGCTGCCATCACGGTCGCATGACGTCAGGAGTATATTGAAATACACTGACTCCACCATGTTGCTTGCAGGCGAACCAGGAATGGGAAAATCTACGTTTTTCTCTCACATGGAACATGAAATAAAGAAGTGGAAACCTTCAATGTGGGTGCTAAGACTGAATCTAAATAACCATACCAGTTCACTGGAAAGTACTAAATTTGAAGGAGAATGCATCAACAAGTGCAAGGAATTCCTGTGGGAAGCCGCTCATTCGAAGGAACAAAATGCTTTAGAACAAAAAAAAAATATTCCTGCATGCGTTAGAAAAGACAAGGAACGTAGTTGTAATGTTAGATGGATATGATGAAATATGTCCAAATTTCAGTCTTAAGATCGAGAAGTTAATAACAGAAATAAGGAATAAAACTGCTTCTAAGACTTGTTTCATCACGTGCCTCCTATCAGATGAACTTGCAGAAGATCTTGAAGAAATTTGCTTTTACGTTACGTCCATTTACTACACAAAGTCATATTACTATTTTGGAACTGTTCTGGAATAAAACAAATGAAGAACTGAAGCAAGGAAGTTTGCGATATTTCGCCGAAAAGTTACTCAGGTCGACCTCAAAGAACTTCAGCGACAAAGATGGAAACTTTACGGGCATTCCATTACATACAAAGATGTTAGCTGAAGCCTTTGAAAATGAAGCTAAAAATTATTGCTTAAATGGGAAGGTTGATTTACCAGAAAACTTCAATTTACTCGATCTGTTTAGGAAATTTACGGAGAAGAAATGTGATATTTACTTAGGAGAGAAGACTGCAATGGATTGCACAAAACCTAATACAAAAGAGGAGAGACAGAATTACGTAAAGAAACACATGATTCCAGCGTTAGTGTTGTTGTTCTCCCGCAACGAATTCAATCGGCTCCTGGATACAGAAGTTACCACTTACTTGCAAAAAGCAAAGAAATTACTTAAAAGTAGAAAGTCAGATCAATGTGGAATGATAACTGACTTTACGGGAAGCAGGCCGAGTTTTATCCATCGATGTTTTGCAGAATATTTTTCTGCCAAATGGTTTTCTAAGAATTTTTCTAGGTGTGACAGTTTCATTTCAGACACTCTTTTCAACCGAAGGTACGAGGTAATACGGAATATTTTCGACAGGATGCTTGCAGAAGAATTCAGACTTCATGTTGCTGTTTTGAACAATGTGAATAAGTTGCTGGGGGAGAAAACAGATGTGAACATTGTAGACAAGGGTGGTAGAACTGCGTTGCATTTGGTAGCATCGTATAATAGCATAATTATTAAAAGACTGTTGTCAGTCTCAGGTGTTGATTCCAACATACCAGATGGAGACCTTAAGTGGACGCCGCTGAGGTACGCTGCCACAACGAGATCATGGATGGCTGTGGACAGCTTGTTACAGGGTGGCGCTGACGGTAATGTGCTTATTGAATTTTACCAGGACCAGGAGTGGAGGGCAGCACTGTGGGAATGTGCAGAAAATGGACACAGAAACTTGTTGGAGTTCTTATTTAATTCCGGATTTGATGTTAATGCCATTGTATTGCATCCTGGAGAAGATTATTATGAATTACCTCTTCTTCATATAGCCTCACAGTACAGCCAAGAGG